GTCGATATTAAGCGATTTTGGTAATTAAAGTTTAGTTTATGATTAGTTTTGAGCATCTTAGTTTTATTGAATACGCTTTCAAGTTGCCTGTGGATACGATACTGATACTGCCACCGCCTTTTTAGTTCCTTATGTTTTCGCGACACAAGCATAGGATGCGTCTTTGAACATTGAATAATGTGAGCTAAATTAATAAAAGTTATTTAATAAGGTTCAAGTAGTTGAACATGACATGCAATGCAAATTTGCACATGAGAAGCGAGAAGGTAACTTGCAGCTCAACTCTAGTGTGATGTACTAACAGTTCGGCTCAGGGATAGAGAAGATGTCCAGTCCTATCTTATCAACTAACATCATCCTATCCAATCACCGTACTGGACATCATCTCTATCCTTGAACCAACAGTTCCGCTGTCTGAACTACGTTTAGTGAACTGAACTAAATCATCAGGTAACACTTCGATCTTTGTCTTCGTGAACGAATGGAGTACTGCATTGCACATAGTGACATACACAGTAATACAGGTAGACATACCTCTCAACCGAGTGTGGTGGGAGCGAAAGGGGCGGTCCACAGGCCACTTGAAGGTCTTCAACTGTAAACACACGCGCCATTTGCGCGCACACTTGACACATCAAATTATATAGCAGGTGAGAAAAGGCGCGTATCTCCCAAAATTCGCTCGACGCTCGCTGCAATTTCTCACAGATTTCACACAAATACACATCCACAGCTTCCTCTTCTGTTTCTCCTTCAGAACAGTGTTCACTTGTTATAAAAAACATAATGTCGTCTGTTCGTAACCGAGCTGTGTCACGCGCAAATCACACAAAGACTGACGAATTCATCGCCGTTCGCTAAGCACTGGCCCCGCACGGATGTAACGACTTTCGCCATGGTTAAAGGCGGCGAGGTTCGCGCTTCTTAGCCCACCGGAACTTCATGTTAAATCCGTGCGCAGTCGCGCTTTCTCACCTGCTATAATATTTATGTGTCAGTGTGCGCGCCAGAATGGCGGCGGGTGTGTTTTACAGTTGGGAAAGCGCTTCAAGTGCCTGTGGGCGGATCAAGGATAGTGAGTGGGAGGAATGGCCTGGGCTACACTGTCACTGCTAAGGCCTAGTATTATTATTACTTTGGCCCCCGAGATATCAAATACCATGACCATCGCTATATTACTACCATGACCACCCCCTAACCATAATGATAATCCTAACTTAATCATGATAAAATATTAAATAGTATCCGGGTGAACGCCGGGCGAGTTGTAATGACTAAAAGTAATGTTACGTTTCGGTTTCAATTACAGACTATTTTAACCGGCTTACAATGACAGACATTTAGCGTTTAAAATACAGAACGTATGAGAAAAGCTTACAGATATGCACCGTTGGAATGTTACGCTATATCATCACAGATCCACCTCCCACCAAGGTAAGCATAACATATGTTTTGACACAAGTTTACAGGTGTGACAAAATGGTGTGCGTGAATGCAGCGACATCTGCAGGTGATAATGTGGCGCCATCTAGAGGAGGCATTGTGTACTTAATTTAGTCGCTTTTGTACACATACGCACATTGTACGTCGCTCTCTCTCTCTCTCTCTCTCTCTCTCTCTCTCTCTCTCTCTCTCTCTCTCTCT